CAGATGCCTGAAATACCCTGCAAGCCACCGCATGGGTAATTGCATTGCTGTAAGTGCTCTGCGCTGCCGCACTAATGAGTGCAAAGATTCCCAGGGTGCTTATGCAGACAGCTGACGGTGGAAACGGGAAGCAGAGTCAAAATCTGAAGGCCTGAGAAACCCTGTGTGGAACAGTCCACAGAATTACCTACCCGGAGCAGTGCCCAGTGCTGCCTTTCTGATACAGTGAAAAGCATTTTGGAGAGTCCCAGAATTTGAGGTGAATGCCAAGAACATACTATTAACTCCATGTCATCAGTTTTATCGCTCCTTTGAATTCAGGCACACTTACACAGCTTTTGTTATGCTACATGTTATAGCAGGATTTTACCAGGGGAAATATTCACGGTGTTCAAACACAGACATACGAGAACCTGAAATACTCTGCGACTTCACCGGGCTTGAGAGAACAGACGCAGCATCCCCATTTGCTGGCTCTGGAAGTAGCTGACCATAAATCACAAGTCTGCTGCCTGAAAACAAGCCACAAATGAGAAGAGATTTGCCCTGCGCAGAGTTTGCAGCCTATGTAGAAATCGGTGATATCCGCGCAATACAGGGAGAGGGGGCATCAGGCTGTTGTTTTCAGCTATAAAAGGGCTCGGTACCTCTTGCACTACTTTGTTCTAGTGGGTGAATTAGCAAATTGGATTTGCTCCCAGGAGTAAAATATTCATTTATCATTTCCTGGAAAAACATGACTGCTGTATAAGATGTGCTGTTGCCTGTTCCACCCCTGTTTGCAGTGAGCTACGACGTGTACCTCTGGGAGCTTTGGTCTCTGAAATAACGATGGACATAGAGAAGCAACAGAGCATGCAGACCAGCTCTTAGCTGGCTCTGGTAACCTGAGGGCCTTGGCACAGCTTCTACCTTCCGTGAAATCCTGAACCTATACAAGTGCAAACCACAGTCAGGAAGGGACTTCTGGAGATACTATTCTCCCGTGCAATTGTATAACAAACAATTCATAAAGAATACTGTGGGCTGCCAGGTCCTCGGACGAGGAGCAGAATATAAACAACAACTCGTTATTTTGCCTCCTGCAGCAAGCTGACGAGTGCCCTGCGCTCCAGTGAGAGCTCAGGGTGCTTGGTGTCTTTTCAAATGAGACCTCTGCTGGTAACGATGACTGTACTGGGGTACGCCAATACATCTCTGGCATGTTTTATCTGTCCATACTAAAATCCAGACTTGTGACGTGCGAGTAGTACGGCTGCATTTACCTCATTAATGCTGGCAATGCGGGAGTGCAAACCAGAGGAAAGCCTGCAAAGGCACACGGAGGCAAGCCAGGCAGGGACCGCACCTCTGCGACGGAATGATTCTACCTCGAAATATGGTTGGTCTCGGCTGTTAATGTGTTGCTCTCCTGTGTTTGGGGCGAACAACAGCCCTGGAGTTGGTGAGTGTCTGGAGGCAGAAGGGTTCCAGCTTTGCCAGGCCTACTTTGCCCTTCAGCTCTCACGAGGCGAGCAAAGTCGTCCTCAGCCTGATCGAGGTGCTCTGAAAAATGCTGCAGAAGTAAGGGAGCACAGCAAGCTAACAAAGCACGGCAGAGGGCCTTGACTCTTTCCACTCTTCACACAACACTGGGCAGTGGCTTAGATCCTTGGTGAATATTTTGAAAACCATTGCAGACAAGTGCTAAATAGTAGCTGTTTTCCAGCCTATTGACAACCTACAAATCCTGCTACATATCCATTAATATCTCTTATTGGAGATGGTTCATTTGAATCATGGAAGTTTTTCTGCAAGATCCTGTGAAATCCTGAGGAAAAAGATTGTACTTCAGGTAGAAGGAAATATTCCTTGGGCACCTTGTAGACTGCTTATGATGTTTTTTCAGCTACGTCTTCATTTGCTCAGCTCCTGTCACTCCTGCCTTGGCCTCACGCTGCAAAAGTCAGCATTTAACTACCCGGAGAGCTGGCGGTACAGGATTTGTGAGCGATACAAACACCGGGATCTGCGGCGGTGTCTCTCTGGAGGACAGATGTTTAGAGAAGGTGTAGAATTTATTATGTAAATGAAGATGTCTAGAGCTTGTAAATCTGTATCGCCCTGATCACCTTTCCCTTTAAAAAACGTGCAGACGTGAGCATTAGTTTGCTTTCTCATTCCGCTGTTCCTTGGATTGGGGGATTTCTAATCTCCACCTGCTGTTGGCTTTGCTGTACAGAACTAGGCTTAATTTGGCCGGGAATGAAGATTACCGGTTACAGTTACCTGACCAGCCCAGCAGCGAGGTCCACAATAAATCACTGAAACAGTCCATGCAAAACGCATGGGTTCCTGGCAAAAACTTGTAGAGAATGGCTGGTTGTGCAAGAATAACTGAGCGTAACAGTGTCAAGTGGGCTGACCCTCAGGCTTTGGAAGTTCTAAGAGCACCCACAAGGTTTTATGAGGTATTTCACTTGCTTAAAAAATACTCTGCATTTGTCATGTGAAAACATTATGGTTAAAATTTCTTAATCCCTAGTCCTCCGCAAGCCCAGGATTTCCTTGCAGGCCGGCTTCCAGCTCGGTGGTTCTGGGGACAAAACGGCAGCGCTCACGTGGCCGACCCGAGAACAGGAACAAACCAGAGGCTGCACCAAGAGAAGCCCCCGCAGTCAATGTCCTTCATAACTGGAGCTTCAGCCCACCACGCAGCCCTGGTGGGGTCCTGCTTCCCACCCCGCTGCACCTGGCCAGGCTGGGTCCATGGGCCCAGCCCAGCTGGGTGAGGGTCAACAAGGCCAAGGGCCGGGTGCTGCCCTGGGGTCACCACAACCCCACACAACGCTCCAGGCATGGGGCAGAGGGGCTGGAAAGCTGCCCAGCAGAAAAGGCCCTGGGGGGGTTGGTCGAGAGGGGGCTGGATAGGAGCCAGCAGGATGCCCAGGTGGCCAAGAGGGCCAGCGGCATCCTGGCTTGTCTC